TTCTACCCCCTGTGCCTGTGTCACTTTCAGATGCTCTTTATAAGGTAAAGGAATCAAATATCACTCTAAATAATGGTGAACAATTTGTGTTTATGAATGAGTCCACTCAAATAATTATAGTGACATGTAAAACAAATCTCCAATTTTTGTGCAATGAAATTGAATTTATATTAGCAGACGGAACTTTTACTTATTGCCTAAAACATGTTTATCAACAATATACCATCCATGGTGTTTGTAAACAATATTCGTACCACTTGTTTTTTGTTTTTTACCATCAAAAACAAAAGATATTTATAAACAAATGTGGGAAACATTAAAAGATTTATGTTTAAATAATGCCAATAGTGTATTCCAGCCTTCTCTCTTACTATTAGATGTTGAACTCGGTGCTCACATTGCTGCTAAAGAAGTATTTCCTTTAATTATTATTAAAACCTGTCGTTTCCATCTTGGTCAAGTATGGTACAGAAAAATTAGTTCGATTCCAATATTTAAAAAAAACTACGACGATAAAAATTCACAATCTGGATTATGGTTAAAACTTTTTTTTAGTTTGCCTTATTTACCATCACATATGATTTCTGAGGTGTTTATTGAGATAATGGCTACTTCTCCAGAAGAAAAACAATATAACGATTTTGCTGATTACATATTGGATAATTATATTGAGATCAATCATTTTTCACCAATATTGTGGGCAGAAGAGCCCAATAAAAGTACAAGAACTACTAACGGTGCAGAAAGTTACCATAGTCAACTTAGGCCGGGCGCACACTGATAGATCAAAACTGTTCCGAGCTGCTTGGTGCAGCTCGGAGCTGTTTGTAGGCAATTATAACATATGTAAAGTTTATGTAAAAAAAATGCACGACATAGGTATTACTGGTTCGGCTCACTCACTATTCGAATTATATTTGGAAAAAAGGAAACAGAGGGTTAAAATAAATGATACCATCTCTTGTGAGCAAACTATTATATGTGGTGTTCCTCAGGGTACAACACTTTCTCCTGTACTCTTCAATATTCAGCTAAATGATATAAAACTTCTGAACTTAAATAGCAATATTATTTGTTACGCTGACGATACGGTATTGATTTGTAATGGTTTAACCTGGGAAGAAGTTTTTACTAATATTGAGGCTGATTTACTGTCAATTAAAATCTGGCTAAAGAAAAACAACCTATTTCTTAATCTAGATAAATCAGCCATACTACTTCACTCCCTATCTGAATGTACCCTACCTACCTTAAATGAACTAAAAATCCATGAATGTAAAACTTTATTATTAAATCACTGCCAGTGTAAATCGGTTTCTATTGTCAAAAATTACAAATACTTAGGTATCGAAATGTGTCATGATATGAAATGGAAAAATCAAATTATTAATACTACCAATAAGTTGAGAAAGATGATTTTCATCATGAAATCTCTACGTGAAATACTAGATTGTAAGATATAAAACTTTTATACTTAACTCTCTTTGAACCTTTAATCGCATATGGCATAATTGGTTGGGGTAGGGCCTATGATAATGTGTTATCACAACTTCAGAAATGCCAAAATACTATTATTAAAGTTGCTTGTAACAAAAAACGGAGATATCCTACAAAACAATTATATGAAGAATTTAATGTACTTAATATAAATAAGCTATATATAAAAACCTGTACCATTTTCCTAAAAAAACATAACATGTTATCCCCTGTAAATCACAAAGTTAACGCTAGATATGCTACTAATAACTATTCGCTAAAATTTCCTAAAAAAGCTGGATGTCGTAAAGTGTATGATTTTGTTGGGACTGTTGCGCCGGAATAATTCTTACATGTATTTTAGCAGTGGACTACTCCGACTCGCGTCGATTTCGGGAAGGGTGACCTTTATATGTAATTCATAATAATAAATAGAATGTTATGGAGGCGCTTCGCGCACAATACGAGTACATATAATGTTCGACTAAAGAAAAAATAAAAATACAATAATAGTGTGTAGACATTCAAATAATTTTATGGGCGCCCAAATAATGGTAGGAACACTAAAAAATTATTCACTAACTAAAAAAATACTAATTGACATACAGACAATAATACAATATCATAATACGATCGACAGATCAATATGTGAATAGTATCAATGACAACAATGATAATAACCAATGAATAATTCTGATAATATCACCCGGTGTGACTTTGATGCGGTGCTGTCAACTGAACGACCCGACTGCTTGGCGTACGTGACACAGACGATGACGGACTTCCCGATGCGGATTCCTGCGTCGGCAATTCAAAACCCATATATTGTAATTTGTAACGGCGACATCAAAGATACGACGACCAATTGCTCACGAATTAGAAGTAGAATAACAGTAGAATAGAATAGGATGTACTCCACACTATGTACCTCACTCGAGGCCGAAACGAACGGACCGGATTCGCATATAAATATAGAACGGCATAAAGCCGCGTAATTAATTATGCACACGCGTAGCGAGGCGATGACAAAAAAAAAACAGAATTTGTCGGAATGCCGAAACAGCCGGCACGATGACCCATATACGTATGGTCAACAGTGACACAACCGAAAACTGGACGAACGCGGTCGGCACTTTTACGTAAAACGGCCTAATCGGCGGATGCGAGCGAACTGGTTAGCCGGTCGAGAATGTCGAGCGCAGGCGATTAGCATTGCCGCAATCGCAAAATCGCGATATGACAAGAGACAAAGTTCATCTTTATTCGGCTTTATCTTAATGAGCCGAATTGGGTGAACGCAGATACGTGGGCTTGTAAAGTGCGGTTCAAACATCCCCCCCCCCCCCTATGGGAGGCTCAGGCTCCCATAGAAATTGAACGGATTTGGTTGAATGGACTGAAGTGGTGTCTTGAGATGATGCACTGCCGGGGTGATACTATTTACCATTTCAGTTTACAAAGGTAACATGTTGAATAAAAAATTACAAAAAAAAAAAAAAAAAATACACAATTTAATAAAATACATAAAATAATAAAACAAATGACACATTCGGTGTCCAAACGAAATCAGAAATGGAGTCAGAGTAGCTAATGACTAAATATTTAATAAATGGTAGCTCATTTTAAGACTATATAAAAATTAAGATTCAGGAGCAACGTTTTGGGGGTAAGCATTCAACCAACGAGTAAACTAGTGGGGTTGTTAAGAGTCCAAGACGCTATTGGGTGGGTAACACTACTATTTTAGCAACCGGTCGAGTGATTTGGCCATGACATGTTAACAATCGCACAACACGTACGACGCCGTCGTTACCTGGTAATACTTCGAGAATGCGCCCAAGGCGCCATGCCAACGGTGGAGACTGATTATCGATTATTACTACCATGTCGTTGACCTTGACGTTGGGGGCTTCAGTAGTCCATTTAGATCTCCCTTGAAGTGAAGTCAGGTATTCGGTTGACCAGCGTCGCCAGAATGCTTGATGGCATTGGTCGAGCAACTTCCAACGCTGAGTTAAGTTGACACGTGATTCGAATGATACTCGGAGAGGTACAGCTAACAGAGGTTGCCCGATAATGTTTTTTACAAGCCTTAATAAAACGATAAATATAGGCGACTACGCGGACCAGTCGGTCATATGACGAGAATTTGTCATACCATTCTGATGGCTGTTCGGTGCTGAGCACTAGAACTACGGGGCGCGTCTCAGGTAGATCGGGTATCGGGATCGAAGGTACAGTTTCGTCCCAGGTGTTCGTGTCATCGTGTATGAACTGGGGACCTTGCCAATATAGGGATAGACTGGACAACACTGATGGCAAGACGCCGCGCGAAGCGCAATCTGCGGGATTTTCTTCCGACTTTATATGGAGCCATCGACAGTCGGGCATTAGAGTAATGATTTGATGGACGCGATTGGAGACATATACCTTGAATGATGTGTGCGGATTTTTTAACCATGATAGTACGATAGCAGAGTCACTCCATGCGTACAAGTCGACAATATTTAGGTATGATTTAAGGGTTGCTCGAATTCGATTCATCCATCGAGATAGCAATAACGCGGCGTTCAGTTCCAACCTAGGGATCGATAGATTTTTAATCGGCGCCAGCTTCGTTTTAGTTCCGACGAGAAAAATGGACGAATCAGAGTCATGGTCTAATATTTTTATATACAAGACCGCAGCGTAGCCGTGTTGGGAAGCATCACAAAATCCTAACAATAGACATGGCGATCCACGACGGGAATTGAAATGACGAGGCACCTTCAAGTCGTTCAGTGATGGTAAGTCCGATACAAACGATTTCCAGTCCCGCGAGATGTCATTCGGAAGAGGGTCATCCCATGATACCTTTGCCGACCATGTGCGCTGCATTATGCATTTACCGTGAAAGGTTGCGGGTGCGAACAGTCCTAACGGATAGTAGATCCTCGCGATCATGGACAGCAATCCTCTTTTCGTACAGATGACCGGTAATAAATTGAGACGAAGGGCACACGAAAACGTCGGTCGGACGCCACTGAAGACCAAGTACCTTTATTCCGCTGTCATCGTCGGCGTCAAACGGATGTGGATAACTCACAATGGTCGGCAGGCACGGCGTTTAAAACGTCGGGTTCGTTACTGGACCATTTTTTTAATTCTAGCCCTGCACGACTTAGAATTGAAATTAGGTTGGATTGTAGTTTCAGAACGTCGGTAGTGGAATCCGCGCCGGCACACACATCATCGACGTATGTCTGCTTTAATAGCGCGTCACGAACGTCGTCGCAATCAGTGCAATCGTTAAGCGCGATTGCCTTAAGGACGCGAAGTGCTAAAAATGGGGCACAGTTTGTCCCGTATGTCACGGTATCGAGCTCGTACTCGATAAGCTTTTCGTATGGAGACGACCGCCAAAACACGTGCTGGAGTTTACGGTACTCTGGTAGGACCAATATTTGGCGATACATCTTGCATATATCTGCCGTGAAGACTCGTCTTGGTACACGAAAACGGGTCAATACATCGACGATGTCCTGTTACAATTTGGGACCCTGCAGTAAACATTCGTTTAGTGACGGTCCTCGCGATCCTTTTGCGGATGCGTCAAATACAACGCGGATCTTGTTGTCGCCATCTGCAGGTCGATATACGGCATGGTGTGGTATAAAATATGTCCCGGGCGTTTTTGCCACCGACATATGACCTAATGTCAAGTATTCAGACATAAAATTGAAATATAACTCTCGTAATTTAGGGTCTGTAGATAGCCGTTTTTCGAGATTTTCGAAACGCTTAATCGCGTGTTCACGGGAACCTGGAAAGTTTAATGAAGAAAGGGCTGTGCGTGTAGGTAATGACACGGAGAATCGTCCAGACGGCAGTCGCTTGTACTCTGCTACGAATGCTTCTTCACATCGGCCATCCTCAGTGAACGAAGGCGGCGGCATCGCGGGTTCTTCAGCACGCCAAAATTTCTCAATCAAATTTTCAACTGAGACGGTTAGAGACACAGAGAGCGATGCGTGGCAGTCGACATCAGTTTGAAGCACCGGCCCGATCAGAATCCAACCAAAGATGGAGCTGAACGCTGTGGGTAGATCGGCAGCTACGGTGACCTTACGGCCGTCTATTATTTGCGCGAACAAGTCAGCGCCCAATAGCACATCAACGGGAGAAGCAATATTAAACGTCGGATCGGCAAGGGCCAAATTCGCAAATCGATCCTTAACGCTGGTGTCTAAAGATCGACGCGGCATATCGGATGTGATCGATGGCAGTACCCACGCCTTTGTTTTCAATTGTGGTTCTTTAGCGAACCTTGGTTGAACGACGCAATCGACCGTACCTCGGACATCAGCGACTGCTGTACCGGATAGGCCACTGATCGGTGCTGTCCAGTTTTTCAGCCGGAGTCCTAACCGGGCAGAACAGGACACAGTTATGGCACTTATTTGAGATGCGGAATCGACGATGGCACGGACCGTTTGCCATGTGCCACAATGGTCACGAATGTGAACGAGAGCGGTGCCCAAAAGCACAGCTGCTGAATCGTCAGCTCTGGATGGCATTGATGCAGCACACAAGGACGCGTCACCGCTAGATGGGGTGCTCTCTGAATGGTGACGTGTGGAAAACCCATGAAGCAGCGTATGGTGTTTCCTGGAACAAGTTTCACAGCGGAGTCTTGAGTGACATTTATCGGCCCAATGATTGGTCGACAAACACGTGTAGCACACACCGTTTTCACGCGCCCAGTTGTTTCGGTCCTCGACCGACAACGACGCGAACTTCCGACAGTCAGTAATGGTATGCTTTCCCCAACAATTCGGACAAGAGTCATTCTTGGAGCTCGACGACTTCGAAATGACTAACGATGTAGTAGTTGATTTGAACGGAACCTTTTTGACGAACGCGCTGCCTTGTGATGTAGACTGTGGTCGATTATTGGACCTTTTATGGTGGTCTCCGGCTATCTCCAAGATCGCAACACGGGACTGTACGAAAGTGAGCAACTCAGTCACCGACGGAAACTCCGGAGGAGTGGACGACTCGAATAATTTACGTGTGGATGCCGGAAGACACCGAAAAGCCATGGAAAACACTATGAATGATCCGAGGTCCTTGATTTTCAGTGCATTTAACAACGCAATGTTCTCGGAAAAGGTCGATACAAAATTATTGAGATCGGATAACGTCTCTTGCGACGACATCGGAGCGTTGAGCAATTTGTCGATCAATGCATTCGCGACTAGTCGCGGGCGGTGAAAACGAGACGATAATGTGGACCACGCGAGGTCGTAATTGTCAGTAGACACGGGTAATATTGCGAATGGCATCAGCTGCAGGACCTTGCAAACATCCGATCAAATGTTGCATTTTATCAATTTTCGGTATGTCAGTCCTATCGCCAACAAGAGCGGAGAACCGATCGCGGAACGTCGGCCAGTAATTAAAATCACCATTGAACGACGGTAACGGGATTTCAGGTAATCTAGATGATGGCTTAAATGATGCGTCGCTGACTTGTTTTGGTTCACCTGGGGCACCCTTAGCATTCTTGAAATTATTGAAATTGCCCTGCATGGCGATTGCCGTTGTGGCATTGATAATAGAGGGCACTTCGGCTGGCAATTCGGCCGAATATTCATTTTCGGCATTTATTTCCAACATACTGTCTAACACATCATTGTCCGCTGCTTCGAATTGTTTCCACAAATCATCCAGCGTCGAAGCCGCTACATGCAGTTCATCCATAAGACTAGGATCATCTTTAGCGCGTCTAGCGAGGCTGTTAATTGAACGAATTTTCTTGACGGCAATAGTGCGCTTTGTGTCAGCTCTAGTAATAAGACGTCTGACGCGTTTGATTTCCTTTTCTTCTACTGTCTCGACCATGTTGACCGTTGTGTGAATATGACGCGAAGTCAATGAAAAGGATTGGTAATAATCGAACGAAGACCAAGATGTAATTACCTACGGGACAAATTAAACATCTATCACGGGTTATACCCGTAAAAGTTGAAATACGCGCTATGCCGCTGTATATATTATATATATATATAATAATAATAGTCCTATGGGATAATAATAAATAATAATTAAATTACCTAATGCACTAATAAATACTAATTCGATGAATAATAATTTAATATTACGAATGCGACATTAATGTCGACCTAAATAAAACGTACATCACCTCGGCCCCACCCATTTACAATTTTTGAAAATTTTTTTTACCAATATTTAGTATGTAATTTGTATGAATTTGTACGACAATTTTCAAAATTTGTACGATCACAGTTTTCTAGTAATCAAATAAAAATAATGGGTGGGGCTGAGGTGATGTGTTTTCAGCCCCACCCATACTTAAAAATGATATATAAATAGGATTAACTACATTATTATTTAGTACGCAATTTGTATGAATTTGTACGACCGTTTTTATAATTTGTACGACCATCGCTCGGCCGCTATTGCGGTTACTCAAAAAAACCGTCACCCGAGCCCCACCCCCGCACGAAATTTCAGTTTTTTCGTTTTTTTTTTCAATGCCATTATTTAGTACGGAATTTGTATGAATTTTTATGACTATCATCCGGTAGATATTGATGTTGCTAAAAAAACGACGTTAGCTTATTGGGATTACTTAAAAATATATAGTGTTTGTTTGATTAAACTTGAAATTATTACATTATGCATTTGGAAATGTTGTTAATACAGGAACAATGTATTTCATTGATAAAATTGTTTGTTCAATTTGTTTAATGGTATTTCAGTGACATCTCACATCAATAGCAATAGTAGAAATAATCAAATAAATGTTTATCTCATTTAAATGTTTTTATTAATCATTATGTTAATAATATGTTATAGTACTTAGTACCTATACATAATAGTTTTCACAATTATATTTTTGATTACAGTCAATTTAAATTAATTTATTATTATAACTTATATTTACAATTATTTTTGTATTTAAAAGGGGAATTTCAACGTCGCACGGGGGAGTCACTATTCTTTATGCCGGTGTCTCCGACAACACCAAAAAATATGCTATCCGAAATTAGTGGCCAATGACCCTATATCACCTGAGATAGGGCAATATCTCATGAATTTCAATATCTGTACGTAATCTTTATGGCTGTTATAATTCCGTAAAGATATGTGATTGTGAGGGCCGTTGACCTACTAATCCGTTTTTACTTTAGGGCAATCGATTTCAAAATAGCATATAATAGGGCCATCGACCCTAGAGAAGAGGAGTCGCGATTAGGGCGGCAATAAAATCTATTTGGAGTTATCGCACTCGATAACTTGCGTGAACAATACTATTATATACCATAATATTATGTACATATATTATATTGTATTTATCGATATTAATAGTACTATTTTTGATATTGTTATACAGACATTTAATATTTTTTTCAATAATCATTCCCATTTCAGTTCTTACTGTCCCGAGTGTCGTATGTAATAATATTAGGTATCTCATAGAACTAATTTGTGTTACTAATTTCCAATAAGTGATTTTTAGTGTTTTTTTTGAAAATTATTTTCAATTTATTTGATATTTTATTGTTTTATTATAATTTATTGTTAAATTTAAAATGAGAGGCCGAAAACCAACTATTTGCCCTGCAGAAATTATAAGTATTATACTCAAATTTAAGGATAGAGTAATTACAGAAGTGAATGGAGAAAAAAGTAAGTAAATTTTAATTAGTGTTTTTTATAATTTTACTTTTTGTAAATAATAATAGTTTTGTTTTTGTATGTAAGCTAATCTATATATTTATTTAATCTTACTTTTTATAAATAGTTAATATTCCAGTTGTGACAAGTACCCCACTTATAATATGTATTTTTAATTTTTAAAACATATATAACCATATTTTATACATATTAAATTGGTTATGCATTTATGCGACAAATTTAGGAGTGATCAAATGTATCTATTTTGAAATTACACTCGACAATGTCTCGTACGCGCCTTTAAAATCGTGAATGATAGTGTCAAATTGACGCTAGACGAAATTACCGCGATCAAATGACGTATACTCAATAATGTTGTTAATAATATTTTTTAACTAAATTAAGTGTATTGTTGTATTTATTGTTAGAAGTGGTTGTAGCTTCAAACCGTGTATGGCAAGATATGAGTTCGGAATTAAATAATCGTATGTCCAAAAATGCTCTACATGTATTTGTTTATAAAGGATATCACGGCATTAAAGAAAAACTTGGATTTTCCCCGAACAAAATACCAAATGTAATGCCACTTGAAAATAATATACCCAGTAATTTAAACGATAGTGATGGTTAGTTCAATTTTCATTAAAATTTAATTTGTAAATTTTATACATTTTAAATTAAATTAACTTACTCTGTATATAGATTCTGAGTCTATTGATGAGATGGATACTAATTATAATTTTGAAATTAAAAAATTTGTAATTACATTTTCTGTTGACGAATGGGAGACAATACAGCCCCAAAGAGTAAAATATAATATTGTTGATAAAAAACGTCCTAATCAGCGTTTTAAATTGTACGAAGTTTTACCCAAAAACACATGGACACCGTTAATAGCGGAACATTTTTGGATTCACACCCAATTACCATGTTGCCTTTCGTTTCGTCGAGCGAAAGTGTCATCAAATGGTGACTACTATGTGTCTGTTGTTGGGCGGTGTTCTGTTTGCGAATCTCATTTTAAAGGAATAGTTGCAGATAAACCACCGGAAAATGCAAGGTAATTTTAACTTTTAAGTAAAAAATAAATATTAATAATAATTATACTATTAATTATTATAGAGTATTAATGCAATGTACATATGTTGGGAATTTCAATGAACCACACCAAGTTACAAAAAAACGACGTATGATTGGTCCTATTATTGAAAAAGCGTTATCACGTATAGTAGAACAAGGAGTTTCTTGCGAGACTTATAGAGAACATGAAGCTGTGCGTCTAATGAAAACAGGTAAGTAAAAAAATTCAAATAAAAATTATCTATTCTAATAAAAATAAAAACATTTTATAATTATTAATTATAGAATACTTATTTTATTATTTAAAAATAATGTTTTATCTAGTTACAACTTTAAATGTACCTACTTTAATTATAAATTACAAATTGATACTAGAACTAAACATTTAAATATATATGCATTTTATAATCACAATTATTTTTTATTGACACTTCAAGTTCAAATTTGGGTGAAATATGTAGATTAATTTTAAGATATTATCTATTTATACTATAAATCTATTTACTCTAGTTTTTGGTGAAATGGTAATAACTCAAAAGTTAATAACAATAATATAATATGATACAAATAAATTATTGTAAAAAATCAAATGTAGGTACTTATAAACAATAATAATATAATCAATACAATATTTGCGGAAAAAATTTAATCAACCTATCTCAATAGTAATAGTAAAATTAATTACTTCAATAAAAATATTAACAAAAGATATTGTTACGTACCGTGTTATTTTACACATATATATTATACGGAGAGGTGATGTGTATACCGATGGAATAACATATTCAAACAGTGTAGTATCGAACGGCTATGGCGATCACCTGCACATCGTGATATTTAATATAATGAATAAGACATGATCACACGTCCTGGACTTCTCGGAAATGATGAGTAAACGATAGTGTTAACATTGTACTATTTAATATGACAATCAAGACTTGATCACACGTCTTGTAATTCTTAGAACCGATGAAATCGCAGGAAAGGCACCCAACTGAATAATACATTTAATTTAGAGAGCTCCTTTAGGTCATCGGAAGTCACCACCTCCTCAGTCACCACTCTTGACGGTTAACCATATATAAGGGAGACCAGGGCAAGAGCTCAGCAGACGGTTAGGGATATTCGAGACGCTCAGAGGCAGGTCGTAACACCACTCACGGTCTCGTCTATCAGTATTTCAGAGGCAGGTCGTAACACCACTCACACCATCTTGTGCTTATAAAATTGTATTCTTGTACGAGTTAATTGTATTAAATAAAGACTTAATCTTTTAACTTGCAAACATTAGTATTTCTATTTCTACGTTGATATATGTATCGACGTTGACATAACGGACGCAACAATATCATTAAATGTACTTATGCGTATATATTATATAAGCCAACAGACATTATATTGGCCTTATACAAGTCATATTGGCTTTAAAATAAGTAATAGCATTCTATAATCAATGGTAATAGATTTAACACAACCTTTAGTTAATGTTCGCCGTTCCGCTCCTACTTAGTAATCGCGGTTAGCGGCAACGACTCGCGTTTTTGGTTGAACGGGAAGAAATTAGGGTTACCCAAGCAAAAGTACAAAATATCAATAATAACAAATCTAGTGTCAAACACCTGCGGTATATATATATATTTCTCTATTATATTATATTATATTATAGAAATAGTATGCGGGCGCCCAAATTTATTACAAGAATCGAATTAATATAATAATAATATATTAATAATTGTATATGACAAAGAAAAAAAAAACAATAATAATGGTCTTAAGTACAATGCCCTCAAGTTCGGCACGAATATAATAAAAAATACGAATAACAATAACGAATATCAAGTGCGCAATATGTACGACTTTGACCAACCACTGACCACGGCAAGGAGGAAACCAATATAATGTTTATACATATCACCTGGAATTACAGCAACTCTGGTCCCTTGTAGTGATGGTGACAGTGAAAACCTGGTACCTCGTGATCACACGAGGTTTTTCGCGGACACGTGAACGAACGAACGCGACGTTGCGTGTCGTTCGAACGTTGGAAAAAGACAAAAAGCTCAGAATAATATGTCAAGCTTGTCGGCCGACACAAGCTCGCGGTCTGGTCTCTCCAGACG